GGGCATCCCAGAACAAGTAGTAGTAATCGAAATGAGAGACGTTTAAGTTATCCAGAATCCAACCCCGGCCACGTTGCTTGATGATCTTCCAAACTGTAGAAAGAAGAAAACTGATGCGGGAGGAAGACTTGGAGAAAACAATTTGAATGGATGTCATGGAAACTTGAGGTCTATTAATTTGTAAACGCTTATAAATATTGTACTAGAAAGCCTTGAAGGGGAGATTTGAATGAATTAAAATATATTTTGCTTTGTGCATTGAAGTAAGTGATTTCTCCTTCCCCAATCAAGCATTTGGCTTGATCGTGTGAGCGAATCCACGATTAGCGACGTGAGTGAGCTTCGTTGCCCCTGGTTGAGTGAATCCTAGGTTATCTATCCCCCTCTCCTCGATACCCTTGGTTCTGTCATGCATCAAAAACTACTGAGAAAACTCCCAATTCCCAAGCTGGCAGTGAAGTATGAAGTCCCAAGGCTTTTCACTCCTTCTGGTGCTTGGTCATAGAACAGCTCTATCTTAGCCGTTTCGACGAAGGAATCAGCAATTCCCAGCACAGCGAACTGAAGGAGGAGAACGAAAATTGTGAGCGGAAGTGTATCCCTTTGCCCAAATAGTTATCGTGATACAGAGAAAGATGATTCGAACTTGAGATCTCCTTCAACGTTCATAAGAGAAGGACCAGTAGACTAACAATTAGTTGGTTTATGGTTATAGTTGATTTGACATGAGAAAGCTAAAGAAGCAGATAAAATTATCAATAACTGAAATATCATTGTGATAGTTTACTAAGATAAGCATGCATTGTCATGTTTTAAACTTGCAGTGTGTGACTGACTTAATAGTAGACTGAAAAGCAAAAACTTTTAGTTTCCTCTCTCTTAGGAATGGTGGTGAAATTATGAATCTTCTTAAGATGTAAAATTATTATGATCTCATAACTTTCTCAAGTAGGAAATTTCATAGCCCACCTAATCTCTTTACAGTATTTGACAACTAGATTGGAAAAAGTTAGAGAGGCAGCTGGTAAGGGGGGACATGAGGAGGCTTGAGATGTGTGATCAAACCACCAATTATTCCCAAAATATACTTGACAAATTCATTTTCTTGGAAACATGGCAAAATAGTTGTCAATTAATGTGAATGTTTATGCTAATGGCCACTCTTTTTGTCAAAAAATTACAAAACCAAAAAAAATTGTAGAGGGGAACAAAGTTTGAGAGGTATTTTTGCTCCTCATTCTTAAGTGAAGGTGATGCTCACCACCCAATTTATTATCGTTGAATGAGTTTAAATTTCGAGATCTGTATAGTGGATAGACACAAATCTCAAAAATTAAACTCATTAAAGGGTAATGAGTATTAGCGCCACTTGAGGGTGGTGAGTAACACTGCATCCGTTCATGTATCATATAGAAGCATATTATACAAATCATCAATTAATGAAACTCAACTGATATAACCTTGGAATGAAGCAAAACACAAATCATGTAAAGTTTAATAAGACTTCGGACTCATGAACGATTAATTAAAGTTTGCTCGCTGAGAGTTTATAATTTAAATAATTAAGAATTAACTCCTGCAAACGATATGTTGTGTCACAGTTAACAAACATGATCGCATAATAGTGTGATTGAGTTAATTTTGTACCACAAGATATATGGCAGAAGCAATAACAAAAGTCCAATATCGACCAAGATAAGCATATGCAATATAAGCTCCCAAAAGTGGTGTCATCCAAACAGTGTCAACCCAGTTGGTAACATTGTTTGCAGAGGTAACTGTGCCTTCATGCAGCTTCTTTGTCACATATATCACAAAGTTTGATGCAATTCCAAAGTATGCCATCCTCTCAAACACTTCATACCCTAAATAATCACAAATGCATGCGTATGTTGATTGGTCAAATAGTGAAATGGAGGATCATTTCGTTTTATGAAACTGAGAGAAAAACTTACATGTACTCCATACTCTTAATCATACACAACGTTTAAGTCCATCTCCCTTGTCAAGTGACAGAAGGTCGAAGCAAGATAAACTCAGCATGTTTATACAATGGAGATATGCTAGTTTTTCTCGTAGCTAGCTACGTGACTCTTAGAATATATAAAGAACATATAAGTTATGAAATTTTTATACACCTACGATGAAGGAACAAGCTCTCCATCTCCCAGTATTTCATCTTAAAATTGGTCTACCTTTGAGATCGTCCACAGTCCCATCTTGCGTGTGATCGTCTTCTGAGCCTTTCTCTTCAACCTCTGCCATCAAGTGTTTGATGAAATGAATATGGACTTGGGGCTTTGAAAGTCTTGTGATCAGTTCATACCTATTTGTAAAGTTCTGGGGACAGGTCAGTTAAGTATAAGGTTAACCAATAACCTGCCAACTCAAGCTCCAACAATCTAGATTTATTTTCTTTCACATTGATGGTCACTTATTTTAAAATTTTTTAGAGACTGGCCAACTTCGTTTTCAACCCTAACTTGTTGGGCCTTTTGTCCTCTTAAACTAATGAAATTCTTCAACAAGAAAACAAAAGAAAAGGCCAAATTATTGAACAAATAAACAAGACAAACTCACTACAGCAAATTATCGAAAGATCTGGAACCTCTCTTTTGACAAGCAACCTCATTTTTTTTAATCTGGAAAACGATCCCAAGTTTGTTAATTCCCATGCAAAATCAAAATTAACCAAAAGGTTAAATTGAGAAAAAACAAAGATAATCACCATCAACTTCGCCACTTGTCTCTAATTCCCTCCTAATTTTGAAAGGCCACATGCTATTAATCGTAATTTATATGTTGGAATTAACCTCATGGCTCATGCACTACAAAAAATATGGGCACAGTGCATAATAAATTATTTGTGCCCTTTGAGACTAAGGAGCACCAACATATGTGCCCATAGACCAACAACAACAGTGCAACAACTGTAATATTGTTTGTCTTCTATAGGCGTGCCCCTTGGTAATAACGCACAATATTACTTTTGTGCCCCTATAGAAGGCACAAATAACAGCCTATTTGTGCCCTAATTCTGAAAAGCATGTCAGATGACATACAATCATGCGCACAATTTCAAATCGTGCCTAATAGGTTCTATTTAAAAATAAAATAAAATTTTGAAACAAAAGAAAAAATTCTAAATTTTCATAAGATAAACAAATCTCACAACATACATGTATTATTTACAACAAATCCCACACATTTACAACCAAGCCCTTCTTCAGAATCCCATCCTCTCCCACCGCAGTCGTTGGACCCAAGTTCTTCATGCAATGTAACTTAACCGCATTCGCTTCTTGCCTACAAGGAATCTTAGTAAATAGCATCGAGTAAGAAATATTTATGTCTTACAAATAGCATCCATTTCATCAAGATTATCACATGCAAACCACTCTGGTCTCCCAGGGAATTAAGGACATAATGACATTAGCAATTATTGAAAAACCAACCTAAGTGCACTTGACATATATATTTCCCTTCCCCGTTAGCCATTTGATCATTCTCAGCATCAACAAATAGATCCCTAACATTTTTCTTAGTTTCACCAACGAACTTGCTTGAAACTTCAGGGCCATTAACAATTAGCACGGTTCACAAAAATAGAAATCTCATCAAACACTAATGCAAATAACAAATAACTTATATAAGGATAAGTTGCATAACCAAAATCATGTAGACATGCTCAAATAGCTTTGGAACCTTAAAATAACGTACTAGCATCAAAATAATGTGTTAAATCGGCATGGTTCAATGTTTACAACTGGCAGAACTTAAATCGATTCATCATCTAAGCCTATTATGAAATATAAGAATACAAGATTGTGACAATGAACACCTAGGGGACTATCTTGGACTGGATTAGCTTCAGGGACTAAGCTGAACTGACTTAGTGAAGTGTTTAGTGCAAAATCGAACTAAAAAGTAGAATAATTAACAAATCCTAATATTATATTATTTAATTTATATTATTAGTATACTCCATTCTTTTTTTCATAACAATTCTCTATTTTTCTATTCTCTCCCTCGCCATTTTTTTTCTCCATCCAAAGCAACCCAGTCCCCAAATCATCCCAATTGCCATCTAGACCCATAAATAGAATCTTGGCCTCCTTCTGCCACAACCCCTAGAAGCAATCCAGCAGAAACATGGCGGCAACTGATTTTTCTCCAGGAACAGATTGGTGGAGTTATGAGTGAAAGACCAAAATACCCAAAACGAATCGAATGAGGAGAGATTGAATTCAAAAGATGTCTGGCGAAGCGTTGCAAGTCTGTTATGTTTGAAAATGGTTTTAGGAGAGCGAGATTGGGAGTTGATGAAGTCGAGGAACTAAGCAGAGAAGTGTTGCCTCTCAACAACGAGTTCGGCGGTATAACATCTTGGGGATGGGCAAATCTGAGGTATCGTGATTATGGGTTCAGGGCGAGAAAGGAAAGAGTGGTGGCCGTCTAGTGGTGCATGAGGGAGAGCGGGAAGGATGTGGTTGTCGTCTCCTGAAATAGAGAGTAGAGAGGGGTTTCAGTTAGTCCCATGGTTTTCGAGAACTCTCGCTAAGAACCTCTAGCGATGTCCTTAGTTTAGGCTAATTCCAGTTAGTCCCATTAACATTAGTCCTGTGGAACAACAAACACAGGACTAGACTAATAGTTAGTCCAATCTAGTCTAGTGAAGGCTAGTGAGGGTAAACAATCGCCCCTTAGGCCATCTCCAACCGATGGCTGGCCAGAGGGCTCATTTTAGCCCTCTGGCCCTCCAAGATTCTCTAAGATAGTAATATTTTAATGAACAGTACATGGCCATATTTGCTTCCGTCTCCAACCGAGGGCCATAGGGCTAAACATAATTTATTATTTAATTTTAAAAAAATACAACAACTTAAATTCAAATCCAACAACTTAAATTTAAAAACTACAACGATAACTGGCCCAAAAAAATAAAAAAAAATTAGAACTTAAATTTAATGAATGGTTTAGGTATTTATAGGGGGAAAAAATTAGAATTTTTAAGAATTAAAAAAAAAAATGGCCCAAAAAACCAAAAAAAAAAAAAGAAAAATTGAATACAACGGCTAACTGACTAGCCGTTGTATTCAAAATTTTTTTTTAAGCAATCCTGTAGGTTATAACCGATAGGAATGCTATATTTTCTGACCAGCCCTCCAGCCCTCTAGCCCTCTCCGATTTCGTAGAGCCTTCTCAGATTCCACATCCCTCTGGCATAGCCCTCAGTTGGAGACGGTTTTCAGGCTATTTTCGGCCCTCTGACCCTCTGGACCCTTCAGTTAGAGATGACCTTAGTTCTTAATTTCATCTCAGTTTCATGTGTCATCAATTGGTCAAGTCTTAAAAACAACTATCAAACTCACATTTCCTTTGATTTTCTTTATAACACAAACTTGTAGACTAATTATGCACAATCTCAAATTCAAGCTCGAAATAATTAGTGGGAAAAAGGTGAATCACTTACCAGGTTCCCTGAGGAGACGTTCAGCTTCTTGAGGGATCAAATACAAAACAAAAAAAAACAAGACACACACTCACACTCACACAAGTTGTTAAAAAAAATTACCCAAAAATCATAGAAAAATAACAAAGGAAAAGCCAAGATCCGAGAGGACTCCGTGATGCGGTGGTTGTCAGCTGATGCAATGGTTGTCGATCTGATGCGGTGGTTGTCCAACTGACAGATAACATCCATCGGCGGATCTGAGAGAGGCAAAAATGGGTTTGTTTGAATCTGAAACAGATCAAATCCCCTCTTGATTATAACCCAAAAGAGAAAAAAGCTCAGTTCCCTTTTTGTTTCAAACGAACCCTAACCTTAACACTAACCCTAAAATTAATCACAAATTATTAACTAAATTAATAACCAATACAAGTTCTAAGTTCTTACCATTTTACCTGGAATGAAGTGGAGAGGAAAGAATAGCATTATGCAGGCAATGAACTGAAGGGGAACTGGGTATGAGATGAGAGTTGAGGCCGACTGAATTGCAGATTCTGTGTGAAGGAGAAGGATTTGCAGAGTCTGTGAGACTTTGAACTCGACTTGAGACTTGAGTTGAGACCCACCGATTCGCAGTGTGTGTGAAATTTGAAGGGGAAGGGTTTGCAAATTCTGTTTTTGCATGAGATGTGAACTCGACTTGAGAATTGAGATGAGAGGGGGAAATGGAAAATTTTGGGGAAAATACAACACGCAAGAAAGTTGCTAATGTAGAGTTTGCCACTGCCCTTGCAAGCGAGATCTTGCCAGTTTCTGGCACTCCATACAATATGACTCCCTTAGGTGGCCTGATACCAATGTCTTCATATAGCTCGGGATGAGTCAGTGGCAGCTCAACAGCTTCTTTAATTTCCTGTATCTGGGCATCCCATCCGCCGATGTCAGCGTATGACTCCAACGGAGCTTTCTCGACCTTCATCACTGACCATATATAGGATCAACTTCATCCTGAAGAAAGTACGTGTTATGAATATCAAGGGGGCCGGGATTCTGAACTTGATTAGCATTGCTTGATGATTATCTAACGTGGCACATGCCTCAACGATGCGGTGTCGTCAATTCTTATTTTCCTTTTGTTTGCATACTCTTCTAAGTTCAATTCATCAAGCTCTTTAGGGTCATTTGCGACAAGTACTTTCCATTTCCTAACTGTTGCCGCTAGTACCCAAGCACCCTAGTGACAAGTGCCAGGATCGTTCAACTTAGGCAGTTTTCTTATACTCTAAACTAAATCAAACAGCCGCATTGACAACGTTCAAATTTATATTAATAACTAACAATTTAACCCACTAACTCTACTAAAAAGAAGTTTACCAAATTCTTTTGGTATTTTATTTTTTTATTTGTTTATTTTTTTAACAAACAATAGCCTCACATGTTTAAATTTTTTCGATATAATCGATATTTTCATAAAAACATTCCAAAAATCAAAGAAAGATATGCAAATGGGAGATGAAGTCTAAATTTCATCTCATATTGGAGAAAATCTTAAGTTTAGACTAAAATCAACAGATATAATCAATATTTCTGACTATTCTTAAGTTTGACTATTCTTAAAGTTTGATTTTAAATTTCCATAAATTCCATCGAAAACAATCGATATCGATATCAATATTTGGTATATCCGTCGATATTTCCACAAATTTACATATCGATATTTCCACCGATACCAATATTTTTAACACTGCAATGGGCTAGCAATAATGTTGTTTAAATTTGTCTTTGGCGAAAATCGAACATAACCTCTCACCTACACGCAAAGTCGAATACTATTAGACCGTAATACTAAACGACAATTCTTTTGGTAATTAAAGAAAAGAAAAAAGCAAAAAGAATTGATCCTTGTAATCGGAAAGGGATTCTCTCCGGATCCCTTTTACCAAATCCACCAATCAATGAATCTGGATCCTTAAAATTTGATCCAACGACTAAAAAGTAAAAACAGATGGCCCCTTTAAAAGTTATAATAACTTTAGCCGTTAGATCAAATTTCAATGATCCAAATTCATTGATTGGGTGGATTTGGTGAGTACAAGGAGAGGAACTTACTTGCAAGGTGAGTACAAGGAAAGGGTTGCAAGTCAGTCCCTCATTTAAGTAGTATTCTAATTTCTAAACTATTGAGTCACACTTGGAGATGTAGGACCCACAGTCAACGGATGTTTCAGTGAGGAACGGTGTCAAATAAAAAATCTCAAAGTTTCCAGGCTGGGTGATGATTCAGACACAGACCCTAACGGTCACTTCCCTTTTCCCGAAAATTAAAGAACCATAAGGGGCGGCTCTTCTGGTTGGGTCCCCCTCCAAAAAGCCCCAAATCCTTCAAAGGTTTACGACCGTTTTGTCCCTTCCCCTTCCCCTTCCCCCCGCCCCAAATCCTTCAAAAGTTTACTACCAACCCCAACGGCCTTCTGTCTCTCTCTCTCACACACACACATTGGAAAAGATGGAGATGTGAAATTGTGAAAACCCAGGACCCAAATCCTTCTTCTTTTGCAGAGAGACACAATCTTTGGGATACCCAGAGTAGGGAAAGAGAGAGATCGAAATCATGGGTTGCTTTCTTGCATGTTTTGGTTCTTCCAAAGACAAAAAACACAGGAGTAATCAGAGGTACAGGGTTCACCACAGAGACCATGTAAGTTTGTGTTTACGTCTGTTTGGTTCCCGAGAAAATTCTAGGAAAGAAAATGGATTCCTTACTGTTTCCGTTCTGGGGTTTAGTTTGTAAACAGTCCAGTGAATTCCGAACTTCCGAGTAAAATCCACATATTGTTTTTGATGAATTTAGGCTTCATTTAGTAGTTTTTGCTTTTTGTTTGTTTTTCATTTTGATTTAATTGTTTTATTCTGGAAAAGTGTTAAAAGTTCAAGTCTTTGGATTGTGTTTCTTCTCAATTAATCATTGTTTTTGGCAGAGACATACAAGTTTCGAGCCTGGGAAATCTGCCGTCTCTTCTGCACTGGTGGTTGAGGAAAAACCTATTATCCCGGCATTGGAAGAAGTCCGGTGAGTGATTGGCTTTCGTGGTTTTTTTTTTGCGTTCAATTGCCTCTTAATTTTGTGTTTATCACTCCACTGTTTTCTTTGAATGTAATTGCATCTCTTTGATTATTTGAATTACACTTCATTTGTGGGGTTTTCGATATCGAAATGAAGTTATGAGTTTATGCTCTGTAGGGATAAGCCAGTGGAGGAACTGAGCTTCAGTACTCGAAAGAAAGTTACTTTTGATTCGAATGTCAAGACCTATGAGCATGTTTCGACCAACGAAACCCTGGATCCTTTGTTGGATAGTGAAGAGAATGGGAAGGAGGAAGAGGAGGGGAAGAATTTGGAAAAACCGTGCCAATCTAAGTCTTCCTCTGAAGATAGTTCGGTCACTTCGAGCTCAGAGTCTTATCCTCCTAATCATAGGTACCAGAATTGCAGGGATAGCGATGATGAAGACGAAGCGTTGGACTATGATGAGGACTGTGATCTTGATGGTGAAGATGAGGATGATTACGATGACGATGATGGGGAACTAGAGTACGAAGATGAAATTGTAGAATCAAACAGAGGGGTTTCTACACGTCAAGTAATGACTGAGGATTTTGATAGTTCAATGCCGATGAAACCAGCTGGGTTGAACCACAATGCGCGCGATAGGAGTGGTTATGTTCATTCGGTGCTAAACCCTGTTGAGAATCTTACACAATGGAAAGCTCTCAAAGCCAAAGGGACACCACTGATGAAACCTCAGAAAGAGAATTTCACACAGGATCAAGAACCCCGGATTTCATTCAGTTCAGAGCCAAGTTTGAACTTCAAATCGAAAGCCGATCATGACAAGAAGCATTCAAAGAATTCCGACCAAGAAATGGCAGTTGATGCTAGCCTTTCGAACTGGTTGTTTTCATCAGAAAATACACCGGTTAACAAGGCCAGCACAACTGCTTTAGACACCTTCACACCTGAGAATAGCACGTCCCATGGATCAAACTCAGTGAGAAGCCATGAAGATCGACCAATTTTAGGTGCATTAACTGTTGAAGAGCTCAGACAGTTTTCGGCTTCATCTTCACCAAGGAAGTCACCGAGTAGAAGCCCTGACGAGATGGCCATAATGGGGACTGTCGGAACCTACTGGAATCACATGGCTCCTCCTCCCGCTGCCAAGAGTTCGGGTGCCTCGTCTTACAAAGGAATACCAAACACAACCAGCAAATACAGAGAGGTAAATGTCAAGTAAGATTTGTGAGCCTCTCGATTAGGTCTTGACGGGTTCTGATAACAGATCTATGGGTTTGCAGGATAAAAGAGTGAATTGGCATTCTACCCCTTTCGAGACGAGGTTGGAAAGAGCTTTGAACAGAGGAGGTGCTGCTGAACTATGATTGATGATAATTTTTGTTTTTCATTAAGGAAAGAGGATTGGTTTGTGATTGTTATTATCTGGTAGTGATGTCTATTCTTTTAATTCTTTTGTGAATTATGATGCTGTTTTCTGTGTGACGCTTGCCTGTTGTAATATTGGAGACCTGGTTGAAATTATGGATTGTGATTTTACTAGTTTGCTTGAATTCATGCATGAGTTCCATCCACTCCGCGTGTCCGAAAGTATGTTAGTTATAACATCCTCTACAAAATTTGTTTCTCTGAAAACACGGCATTAAGAAATTGAGTTGAACTGCCCTGGGGGAGAGCACCTTCCTTGAGATGCAATCAATGATTAATTTGAGTTGAATCCCTAAGCGCAAGAACGCTGGACCAAAGCAGCAACAACAAATACTGACGAATCGGGGGATATTCCATTCCCGTAAAATAGACTCATTAGCAGCGGAATGTGCGATTTTCAAAGAACTCAACCGAAGTCTAATAGTGGGCTTGATTGAGTTGAGAACCACCGCAACGGGTTGACATGAATTCTTAAACCTACGGTTGTTCCACTCTCTCAACATACATGGTAGCAACAAGAGATAACTTCAATGCTATCGACGATAGAGATTTTCCCTTCCAATGGCTAGCAGCCCACATGACAAAAAGAGGCAAAGATAGCCTTAGCCAAGGGACACTACACTCGAACGCCGAGGACCAGATACCATCGCTAGAAGAACATTAAAAAAAGAGGTAGCAATGGGACTCCGTAACACTAGAGTAGAGAATACAATTTCTTGACAGTAGTATGGAAATGAAGAAAGAGAGAATATAACACTAAGGAAGAAGAACAATGAAGAAAATGCTTTGTGTATGTTTTGCTTTATTTGTAATTTAATCGAAATGTTTACATCTATAACAAGAATATTAAATAAAAACTCAGGGTCAATCTCGTCCCAAACAAATGGATCACCATCTTTGGCAATAAACAAGGCAACCGTGTGAGCAGCCAGGTTGCTACCCCGACTATCTTACACTATAAGCTATTACAAACTAATATAACTAACTTTATCTGCATCAGTGATGACATGACATATTTATCATATCTCAAACATATCAGCAATGACATGGCAATATATGCTAAAACAATTGACAGTAGCCAACGAAGCATAAGTTAAAATCCTATCCACAGTAGAAAGTTTGCATTTAACGGCCAACCAACGAATAAAGCTCATCTTAAGAATATTTTGATTATACCAAACAAGTTTAGACCAAGCTACCGTAGGCTTAGCTTGCCAAAACTTAAATTAGTCCAACTTCATCATAAACCGTATGCTTCAGAATTAGTTCATAGGTAGTTGAATAAATATTCGTAATTAGGTTATTCACTTGAGTTATTCAATCCCAATGAGAATAGAAACGAAACCTCGACCTTCCTACACGCACGCGCATGCCGGAATTGAAAAAAGCAAAAACAGACGTTGGGGTGAGAGAGGCTCGAACTCTCGACCTCAGGATAACTCAGAAGCTATGAGACCTACGCGCTAGCCAACTGCGCCACCACCCCATGTGGATTTCTTTTACCGCTTAAAAATTTATATACATTGAACGGCACCCT